GGGAAAAGGAAAGGGGAAAGGAAACGGAAAAGGAAAGGGGAAAGGGGAAAGGAAACGGGAAAAGGAAAGGGGAAAGGAAACGGGAAAGGAAACGGGAAAGGGGAAAGGAAACGGGAAAGGAAAGGGGAAAGGAAACGGGAAAGGAAAAGGAAAGGAGAAAGTAAAAGAGACATGGGGTGATGGGGCTGGCACATCCCTATGATGGGGGATCCTCTGGATTTTTAGGAGTGGGCATAAAGCACTGCTCAGCCACAATTTGGGGTTTTCCTGGGTGTTTTTTTTGCTGAATTGCTGCAAAGAATTCCAGCTTTTAGCCAGCAGCTGGTGTTTGAATCCATGGGGTGCAGAGAGATGGGGTCACTGCAGGTTTGGGGTGCAGGGAATGGAGGGAAAGGATGGAAAAAGATCCTTGCAGACACAGCAGATTTCCGCATGGATAATCCAAATCCGTGCAAACCTCGTGGAGCAGGGATGTCCTGGGACAAGCAAGGGGACAATCCCTGAGTCTGCCACCCCACAGGAGCTCCTTGCAGCTCTAAATCCATGGAAAAGGAGCCAGCTGGAAAATCCAGTTGCTCTGGTGTTGTTTTATGGTGCAAAAAATACCCAAAAAAATTGCAGCTTGCTGCAGACAGACGTCAAAGAAACAGGGAAGAATAAACAAAAATAAGACTTGTTTTGGAGAAGGAGCAAACGGGACTTTTTTGGGAGTTGGGGAAGGGTGTGGAGGGGGAGGAGAGGCACTTTGCTGCCCTGGGAGAGATACCATTCCATAAAACATGTGATCACATCTCAAATATATTGTGTAATCCTCTATTATTAGGGTATTTAAGATAAAAACGAGGCCGGAGCACTTAAGCGAAACTCATCTCTCTCTTCACTTCCCTGATTCATATTTAATATTTCACTGAGGACAAATGCAGGAGCAGTTTTTTCTTTTTTTCCCTCCTTTTCCCTCCTTTTTTCCTCCGTTTCCCCTATTTTTTTTCCCATTTTTCCCCTTTTTCTCCCCTTTTTCCCCTCCTTTTTCTCCAATTTTTCTGCCTTTTTCCCCTTTCCCCCCTTCTCCCCCTTTTCCCTCATTTTCCCCCCTTTTTTCCCCTTTTTTTCCACAGGATGGGATTGTCAGGAAGGTGTTCCTTGTCCTCTTAATTACTGGGGCTGGGTTTAACCTCTTGCCTGTGAGGACTGAGGAGTCAGGAGCAGAGGAATAAAATCCAGGAGCATTGGAACAGGGCAGAACAGCTGGGGCTGGGCCACAGACACAGAGCTGGGTGTAAAAAGGGAATTTTTTTTTTTCATTTTCCTGTGAGGAATTGTGTCATTTTTTGTTCATTTGGATCTCTTGGAGCCATTTGGTTCTGGTTAAGCGAGGCCAGGGCTGGGCTGGTGGAAGTGCTCCTCAATATGGCATCATTTACTGTTAATATCCAGCTAAAAATATCCCTGTGTGTTGTTTTAATGGCTCTAATTCTGGAATGTGACGATGTCATTTTTATGAGGTTAGTGTAAAAAATCTTCCCTTTTTTTTTTTTTACCAATTTTTTTCATCCCTTCCCAACCTCTCTTCACTCTCCACCCAAAAGGATCAGAGGGAAAAGGGAAGATAAAAATCCCCTTCCTCCTTCATTCCATGCAAAGTTCTTGCTTTAATGGAAATTTTCAGGTGTTTTTATTCTTTTTGGAAGGTAAAACACCATATAAAGCTCTGATCCAGGTGGAAAATCCCTCAGATGGTTTTGGGCAGCTCTTCCCAGCTGGAATTAAAAACTCCATCCTCATGAAGTGAAATATCTGGTAATTGAGGCACTTCCAAATACCCCAAGCAAGATTCTCCTTTGTCCTGGGATTATTTTGTGTTGATTTTCTTTGGGGGGAGGCTGTGGCTCCTCCTTTTCTAATGACCATGGATGTCTCCATGCTGTCCAAACTTTTTTTTTGAGTTCTTGACCCATTTCTTCCCAATTAGGCCTCGGAGAGGCTCTGCTGGGGCAGGTTTTGAGGAGAAAAAGGCAAGGATGAGGATTAATCCCACATTAATCCAAGGTGTGGTGTGAGGCAGCTCTCCCTGGGCTATTCCAGGGCTGGAGCCAGGTTAGGGTTTTTTGGGTTTCTTTTGTTTTGTTTTTGGGTTTTGGGGTTTTTTTTTTGGTGTTTTTTTGGGTCGGTTTTTTGATTGTTTTGTTTTGTTTGTGTTTTTTTATTTGTTTTTGTTTGTTTGTTTGTTTGTTTGTTTTGTTTTCTGGTCATTTGGTGATCAGAGGGAGTTTGACACAAGGAATTCATTCCCAATTCTGGCTGGTGTGCTGAATGGATAACACCAGGATAACACCCTGGATATGTGTTGATTTTTATTTATAAATCATTTTCCCTCTGGTTCACAGAGGTAAAATCCCATCTACTCCCACAGAGAAACTCTCCCTTCTGCTTCCCACCTCCTCAGCCCCATGGAAAGGCTCTGACTGATGGAAATCTTCATCTTCAGCATCAAGGCTGCTCCTCCAGCCTTGTTTGGGCAACAAATGCAGCTGACAGGTGGCTCTGCCTCCTGAAATTCCATCCTGGGTGCTCCACGTGCTCTGGCCAGGTTTCCATCCCTGTCTGAGGGACCT